AGGCAGATACCCAATGAGGCTGAATATCTACTAGTCCTTTTCCTCCTAAAGAGAGGGAAAAGGGTTAACTTGTTATTACTTAATTCTTAAAAACCATAATAAGAACAAAAATAAATATTACTTAATTCCAACAGACACTCAAAGCAGTGCCCAATTTTATAACAGCCTACTGGTAAGACTGAGCACTCAAGATCCTTCATTTATATGTTATATGTAACTACCAAATTAATATGCTTTTCTGTAACTATTGGGGCAAAAATGACAGCTTTATAGAGAAGAGAATAAAGTAAAAACTCAGTGTGCAAAAGCCAAACATTTAAGTCCTTTCCTAATAATTAATGAAAGCCAAATTAATATAAGAAATTCACCTACAGTTAAGGCTAGCTATTGCTTAACTATGTAAAAATAAACAGAAGTACCAATAAACCCAAGATAACAATTATTTTTTGCTTTCCAGACAGGTATAATAAAAATTGACAAGAATTTACACCTGTGAAAGAAACAAAATAAATAGAAACATTTAAAGCAATTCAAAAGATTACATAGCTTAAATTCAGTGACCATTGCTTCTCCTCAAACTCTAATCTGAACACTTAGTAGTACACAAAAATAATTTTTAGCTTACAACTATCAGGTTAGTTTAAATTCCCGGATGGGAAAGTCAGGGTCTGAGTACTTTCGCTCTAACCTAAACCACACTATGCTTGGATTTTCACAGTTGTTGAATAGCTTATTAGCTTCAAGCTAAAGAGAAGTCACTGTTTGTATGCAGAAGGCTAAGAGAAAGGCCAGGTCAACAGCAGTTTTACAAGTACCTTTGATAGTTTGCGAGTATTTACTTGACTCTTACCATTAACTTGCCAGATATTCACCATCTTTTCCAAAGCCCCAGCTAGATATTTGCCACTGATACTCCAGGAAACAGGTGAGAAACTTGGATCACTGGGTGACCCCAGGCTTTCCTCAGCATCCCCTTCCCTGGAATATAAAAGATATGTATGGAATTCTAATCCCATCATCCAGAAGTCAATTAACCTCAAACATTAAAATAAGGGTTTCAGATAGAGTCCATAACAGCAGTCTTATATTTCAAAAGCTTGGCTAGCAGTATTTGACAATCACACATTTGCTAATGTTTACCATAACAAAAAAATGTGCTGTGTAGACTGTCCACCATTTAATGTAATACATACCATGTCAACAAAGGCATTCTGATTTCATATGGGTTACACATGGTTATTACTCAAGCCTATTGATTCCTGTTTGCTTAATCTCTAGCAAGTCCTCAGAAAATTACCTACAGCTGACTATAAAACTATAAAGGATGCCACATTATGACACAAAACAATATAATTACTCTAATTCCTAAATAAGTGGCCTGTTGTGCTATATAATTAAACATTTATTTGCTAGTAAACCTTGATTTAATTCTGAATAATACACTGAATAATAATATAATATTATAAATAATACAATATTCTGAATAATAATATCCTAAAAAATATACATCAGAGATATAGTAAGTCTATTCTAAAAAGAAAAAAATTTAAAATATTTTAGTGACATTTCCATTATATTAACACAACCAAGAGGAGGCATATTTAGGATTCTCTGATTTTAAATGTTACATGAGAAAGCTAACGTTAGCACTCACAATCTGTTGAACACACAGGTCTGCTGCAGTGAATACTGTTTCTTGGTGACATTCCACACTCGGATGGTGCCATCATTGCCGCTGGTGGCCAAGAGACCTTTTTTATTACACCAAACACATGTCATTACCTAGAAAAATTGAAAAGATGTGTCCAGCAATATTTAAACAAGTTTTGATTCTAATAATTAAATCAGACCCTAAAATTCTATCAAACTGAAAAAAAAAAAATCTACTATGGAACTGTAAAAGAAAAGCATCCACGTTGTTGTTAAGTGCTGTCAAGTCAGTTCCAACTCAGCGATCCTACACACAACAGAATGAAACACTGCCTGGTCCTGTGCCATCCTCGAAATTGTTGCCGCGGTTGAGCCCATTGTTGCAGCCACTGCATCAATCCATCTCATCGAGGGTCTTGCCGTACGCACAGCCTCATTCTTTTCTAAATGGCTTATAAATAGGTATCTATTTGAAGTATAGCTTTAAGGTACAAGGCCCAAACTCTTCTTATCTGAGACCTGTTAGAATCTTAACAGGTTAAAGCAAATATGTTAAAATACTTTAATATATTTATTTGTTCTATAAAGTAAGTAACAGAGACTAAGAAGTGATTTTAAGACTGTTTAAGTAACAGAGGTTAGTCTGCGTTTCCTAAACTGCCCTCGTCACTGCTTAGGGGCCCAGATCAAAATCATGAGGCTGATTTTTTTTGCTCTTGCATGTAGAACGCTTCATCTTTTGTGAGGTTACTCCTTTGGTCTTCTGATCTTCCATCTCACTTTCCCATCTGTATGCTATTACATTAACCCAGCATACAGAGAAAGGAGAGTTGTAATTACCAGTAAATCTCGGTAACTCAGAGAGACAGACAGACAGAAAGACAGAAAGCCACCATTTTATCTCACCAGGTGATTACCATACATCGGAGTCAGAATACCTACTCTGTTCTGATGAGCCTCCAACTTGATGAAGGAGCATTTTCTGAGATCTCCTCCCATATCAGCGAGTGTTTGTGGAGTAGTTTGGTTGTCGCGGTCATGTGCAGCAAGAGTGCGCACAAGCTGTTGAGCAGCCCATTGCCTATGCTGTGAGGACAGCCTCGAGGAGAGGCAGCAGGCTGCCAGGGCATTAGCCAGCTCCAGAGGGCCTACAGCAGAAGGATCATAGGAAGGATGGGCAATTAAACCTGCTTAAACAAAACAATGAAATGATGCCCAGGTGAGAGCTGGTGGTGGTGAACAAACAAAAATGGGTTAACCCATCTTTTAAGAATTAGTACTTTTATAAGCACTCATTCACTAAAGTATGAATGCAAAGTATAAAGCATTCATCTCACGTCAAATTCTATAATAAATCTGATCCATTACAAACATACGTCTTATATACATCAATCAACAGACTTTGCCCTAAGGACACAGTAAACTGGGAATGCGGCAAAACTCATTTTAATGCCCAGACAGAGGCAGCATGCCCTTAACAATAAGAGTTTGGCTTTTGCTGCTCAAAAGTGATCTTGGAAGCCAGTCAAGGAAGTGGGTTGATGGATCCAAAGCCCATCTCTCTATGCTACATGGTCCTGACCAAGAGGAAAGCGGGCAGTGGTGACTAAGCAGCCCATTCAAAGGGTTACCATCTTCAGACAATGAGAAAAATAACAGTTTATCTGAAATATATTAAGGAAATCTACCAAGATTATTATCTAGGGTAACTCAAACCATAACCTATAACAAGACTAACAGTACATTTTCTAGTATTTGTTCCCATGCACAATGTAAATGTACCTATGCACTTTTTTTGTGACCTAAACTTAAGAAGCTTACATGTTATGCAATTCATCACATATAACAATGCAAAAACATCACTTTTAAAACATGAATCAAGCTGATTAGAAAGCTGTACATTTAAATAATATGAAACTTACCTTTCTTTTCAACTTCTGACTTATCATAGTTAGGTCTCAGTTTGGCCCCTTTGTCAGCTAGTAATGCCACAAGGGCCTGAGTTACAACAAAGTTTGGGGACGTTACAAGTTTATTCTCTTCGGCAATTCCTCGGAGAAAGCTGGGTAGAAACTTCCGTTGAATTGGGTCGTCAACCGTGGTTAGATTTACACCTGTTGCAGCAGAAATCAAGTTCTGAAGAGGCAATTGGAACAAACAGGTTTAATTTTTACATAAAATTCTAGAACAAAAAGAAGAACATTTCACTTCAAAAGGCTCTTTAGGAATCAGTCAGAAATAAGCAATGCCACAGAAAAAGCACCCAAACGAGCTTACCTGTGTACACAACTGCACGAGCAGTTTCGCGGCACTAGGGGTGTTGGACGCCAGACATCCCACCGCCGTGCTCAGATAGGCCAGGCAAGAGATGGGCTTGGTGGCCTTGCTGGGCCCGCCTCGGGAGCGTTCTGCGGTGCTTGCCATGGCGGAGGGACTGGTGGAGAGGCCGGCTCTCCCTGCTGCAGCCAGGCACATTAATCGAACCAGGGTTCGGATATCTGTTAGCCCCAGAGACTCAAGACCAGCAGCCAGGCTGCAACTGGAGCCACTGCCAGGAAAGGAAAACATTTTAGATAGATAAGGAAAACCGATTTCTGAAGAGAACATTTAGATCCTCACATATCATCCAGAGCAAAAACAACCAAGATTAAGGGCAAGCCGCACTAACACCAGTCACACATGTCCCGTAAGGAAAGCCAAACAAGTTGCACAGACTGGAAGCTGTTACCTAAACCTCTTTTTTCATTTTAATAAACAGTGATCTATACTTGAAGTGTAACTGAATTACCAAAGTATAATATACAGAAATCTTCATCAATCATGAATTTTCACCAACTGAAGAAATCTGTGTAGCCACCCCCAGATCAAGAGACAGAACATTACCAGCTCCCCAGAAGGCCACCCTGGACCCCCCTCCCAGTCACTATGCCCCCAAAAGCAACCACTGTCCTGATCTCTAACAATAAATGAGTTTCACTTATTTCTGAACTTTATGTAAACGGAATAACGAAGTATGTGCTCCTTCGTTTCCGGCTTCCTTCCCTCATCATGTCTGTAATTCATCCATATGTTTGCATCACGTTCTTATTAGCTGCCGTGAAGGTGGCTCATGACTCATGGTGACCGCACACACAACAGAATGAAAGGCCGCCGGTCCTGCACCATCCCTGTGATCGGTTGTAGATTGGACTGTTGTGATCTATAGGGTTTTATCATTGAATGATTTTTGGAAGTAGATTGCCAGGCCTTTCTTCTAGTCTGTCTTAGTCTGGAAGCTCTGCTGAAACCTATTCGGCATCACAACAACAAGCAATCCACCACTGACAGAAGGGGAGTGGCTACATATGAGGCGCACTGGCTGTGAACTGAACCCAGGACTCCCGCGTGAGAGGCAAGAATTCTACCACTGAACCACCAATGCCTCACTGTTGCATTGTATCAGTAGTTTATTCATTTTCACTGACACATACATGAAACCTACCACAATTCATTTATCCATTCTACAGATGACAATCAGGTAGTTTCCAGTTGGGGTTATCACAAATAGTACAGCCATTAACACTCTTGCATGTGTCTTTTGGTGCACATATGCAAGCATTTCTGTTGGATATATGCCTAGAGTAGATTGCTGGGTCACAGTATGTTCATGGTCAGCTTTAGTTGGTACACCTACTCCTCACTTACCAACTAGAAGTCACCCTCTTTTGAAAGCTTTCCTTGTCCTCCTCAAGCACGGTTAGACACTACACTTATATTTCTGCTATACCAATTATATAACTTCTATTATTCTTTCAGTACAATACACCTACTCCTCACTTACTGTCTCATCCGACATTTTCCACTTACGACAATAGCAAGAAATCTACTATCTGACTATTTTGCACACTAACAAGGCGGCAGGCATGGCAGCAACAGCTGCAGTGCATCCATTCCCTCAAGGAGGGTCTCTGGGTGCCTCTGGGAAGCTGGGCAGTGCTTCCCTGCGCCCGGCGCCCCCTCTTGCCGGCAGGGGCGCCGTGTTCAGCTGCCACCGGGGCTGGCCTCCTCCATGGCCACAGCATCAGGGCAGACCTGCAGGCAGCATCAAGCCAGCGGGCCCCTGTTCTGGGTTCCCAGCTCCTATGCGGCCTGAGGCCCTGCAGCTCAAAGCTGCTGTTGGGTGAGAAGGGAGAAAAGAAAGAGACAACGGAGAGGGTATTTGGAAGAAATGCGCGCGAGTTTAATGACATCCTAAAGTGAGCTAAACTGGGCCCGAAGCCTCTGAGACTCGGGGGATCTCGTGAGTGGCCCGGCTCCCAGCACCCTCGAGGGAAGGCTGGAGCCTTGGTGACTCGCCGGACCCAGAAGGCAGAGCAGGCTCTGGGATTGTGAACACAGGGCTCGCAGGGGTGGGAGTGGAGCCCTGTAGACAGCTCCGTGAGGGAAGCTCTGACCCAGCACAGGAGAAAGGTGAAGTGGTTAAGCTGTGGGCCCTCCAGTCACACAGCTTGGCTTTATCCAGCTTTGTTTCCTCCAAGCCTCCTCTGCAGAGGAATAATCCACAACCAGGCTCATCACAGTGATGAGCACATTAGTAAATCTTAGCTGTTATTATTTCTATGATCATATTTTCTAAATTAAAAAAACCTGACAAATGGATAGTCTGAAAACAGAGAGAAAAAAAAAAAAACCCTCCATTTTCACATAATGCTGATTTTCTTGTCAATGACCTGGTCTTTGGCACCTAATTGTATCGGTAAATGAGGAGTGGGTGAACTATCAAACAGTTTTCCAAAGCAGTTGTACCAATTTATTTTCTCACTAGCAGTGTTCCAGTTGTTCCACTTCCTCATGCTCTCTCTCTTTTCTTTTTTTTTTCAGTCTGTTTAATTTCAGCCATTCTGGTAGATGTATAGTAGTTTCTCATTGTAGTTTTGATATTCATTTCTCTGAAGACTAATGAGACTAATCACCTTTCCATGATTACTGGCCATTTGAGGATCCACTTTTGTGAAGCACTTCTTAATGTATTCTGCCCATTTTTCTTTTGGGTTGTCCGTCTTTTTCTTACTGACTTATATGAATTGTTTACATACTGTTGGTTATATGCATTGCTAGTATCTTCTTCCACTCTGCGGCTTGCCTTTCTTACTTTCTTAATGGTGACTTTTGCTGAACGGAAGTTGTTTAATGCAGTCCAATCTATGGATCTTTTACTTTATGGTGGATGCCTTCTGTGACTTAAGAAATCTCTGGCTATCCCAAAGTCAAGAATATACTCTTATATATTACCTTCTAGAAGCTCTAATTGATTTACCTTTCACATTTAGATCTAAAACCCACTTGGAATTATTTGTTTTATATAGTGTGAAGTTGGGACCAAGATTCTTTTTTTTTTCTCTCCTATATGGATAACCACCTGACCCAGCCCCAGTTACTGAAAAGACCATCCTTTCCTCATTGCTCTGCAGTATAAACTGCTGTCATCAATCACATGTCTATATATATGTGGTTCAGTTTCTGGATTATTTGGTCTATTGTCTATCCTTGAGCCAATACCACACAATCTTATGTGAATTTTATTCTGATTCTTTCCTTCAGGGTCCTTCTGTCTTCGCTGATTTGCTGTTAAACACCACTGCTTCACTGTGTCTTAAATGGATGTCTTTCAGGTTTTCTTGGCTCCCTTACCATTTCATATTACACAGCACAGTGTGAACATGGCAAGATTCCCTGGGAGAGAATTTTCAGGTTGATTCAGCTAAACAGCTGGTTAACTGAGCAGAAAAACCCATTTGACCTTTTGTGTTTACCCTGCACCAAATGGATCAACGGCCTCACTTTCCCATTTCATATCACAAAATAAAACACATGCAGTTTACTCAGTTACTTTAATGGCATTACTTTCTACCTAAAAGGAGCCAAGTATTAACTGAATGAATGAATGATGAGCGACAATGATGACTATGTCTAACTTCTTTCACGCAACAGGACATATTCAAGTCTCTGAAAATCCCACTTTGTTCAGACTCTTGTGTCATACATGCTAGAAGCTAACTCAGCATGGCTTCCAGTCCTTACCTGACGGAGAGGAGAGACAGCGCCCTCATGACCATGGTTCTGGCCAGCAGAACCTGAGCAGCAGCAGTCACTCTCCTTAAAGCCACCACCCGGTCGTGAGGGTTCGCGAGGGCAGCGGCCTGCTCACCTAACGTTATTCTCCCAGAGGAACTCTTTTCTACAGAACCGTGGCAACCTGCAAAACATAAGATTTTGTTTAGTTCTCAATAAGGTAAGAAAAATCCAGACTACTGAAAATTTCCCCCATTCTACCTAGGCTCAATGCTGCAAAGAAATACAGCTCATAATACAACCCAGGGTTCAAATCCACTGCCAATCAAAGAGACTGGCCAACGTATTTTGCTCATCTGGGACTTTGTTATACAGAAAATTCCTTGGGAGAAAGTTATTTCTAAGTCAATAATCTATACTAGGTAGTCCTCAACTTACAATGAGGTTCTGTTGCATCGACTCGGTCATAAGTTGGTTCTGATATAAATTGAATACCTCATTTTTTTTTTTTTTTTAAGTTTTCGTTATTATTGCCTTTTATTATCAGTATCTTTATAAACCGAATCTTTGTCTTTGGGGGTTGGAAACATTCCATATAAACTTGCAGATATATTTTAACACTGTACATAGAACATTCTACTAACGATAAAATGTACCAAAAAAAAAAAAAAGATGGTTGTCAGTGCGGTTTGTCATAACTCGAATACGTTCAAAGTCAGGGACTACCTGCATAGGAGAAATTTTCTTCTAAATAATCTTTTTTCTTTATTTTGCTCATGCATCACTTCTACTGATACTAAGAGATACAGAAAAGATATAACCTTTAAAATATGCTTTTGAATATGAATATGCTTTGAAGATGTTTTTGGTGGCTAAGCAACCAAATACTGCCCCAATTATTTCGCATCCCCAATAACAAAAAGTTGTCATATCCTCTCATCCAAATACAAAAGCACAAAGCAGTTTTTAGTCAGTTCCAGAATTCTCTTGGCACAGAGAACTTAAAAAAAGAAAAATTTTACTCATATTTTATACATTTTATATCACTTCAATATTTTATTTAAAAAAATCAAAACTTAATATTACATTTGCATTCAAAATATTAAAATAACTGCCTAAAGATACTTGATGGAACAATGCTGGATCCTTACTATTATATGTTTACCTACCTAAGAAACAAATTGAGAGAGACTCTATAAAATCAATGTAAAGCAGCGTTTCAGTTTACCTATCTGCATCAGAGTTTCTTCCATACTGTTTGTGGCTGTGACCATTGCTACGGATGCTCCCAGTGGATCACTATCGGGGAACTGAACAGGCTCTGGTACAATGCGCCGGTCATTTAAACCAAGGGGCCCGGCAAGCAATTCAAATTCTTCTTCACCTGTTAGCTTTTCATCTTCATCAATATCCAACATGTCCCAGTCTTCTGGAATTTAAATAAACAAATGTACAGTGTATGAATACAAATATAACACAACTCTGCTGGTAACGGTTTTTGTGAGATATGTCTAAGACACACATGGACTGTAAGTCCAGTATCCACAAAATGAACTAGAGCACCATCTCCTGGTGATCCAACCAAACTGCACTCCTGAGGCATACTGAGACTCTAAGGGAAAAGGAGTCGTGTAGTCAAATCCATTTAAAGCAACGGCCAATGTTACAACTGGTAACGGAGGTTTCAACTATAAGAAATACTGGCATGTGGCCAACGAAGAGTTCTTACCCTGTCCATAATCATTAGGAAATGATTTGCCTCAAGTAGATGGATGCTCCAGATAAGCTGATGCTTACTCATGTTTTATTTTTGACTTCGCTCACTTAGGATGAAAGTTCAAAATGTACTACATACTTTCCCTACTTTGAAAAAAAAAATCATGTCAAACAGAAATTAACACTCTGTAGTAAAGCTAGTGTTTGAAGCCAGGTGCTTTTCCTCTGACTTCAGACTAGGGCTGTTGCTATTAAACTACCGTGTGCTTTTGGGGGCCAGTTTAAGTTAACACGGACATAAACATAAACACATACACATGAAGGCAGGTTTTAGTACAGATGTTAAGCAGAGGGTACAGATAAAAATACATGTAAAATAAAGAAGCTCTCAAAACAAACAACTACCTTCATACACACTGTCCTGCTTGCCAATTAGATCTGGAGCTTGTCCCTTGTACCTGCACCAAACATGAAGAACATCGTGTTTTTATATAAAACAGTTAGTACCCAAAACCGCAAATTAAGTCATTAGAACATTATAAAAGGTCATTAATAAAGCAACACAAAATCAAAAAGCGTGTTTCATGTTATAGGCTAATGTAATAAAAACGGCTGGTATGTAGGCACAAACATGCTTATGAGATCGATCAGTAT